CGTCCCGCGGAGTGGCGACGTGCAGGGCGTCCGATTGATGAAAATGTGTGCAACTGAGCGTTGGCATGCAGGCGACCGAGTGGAGTAGACGAATCCCGCGGAGTGATGAGGCGCAGGGCGTCTTAGTGAAGTAGACGCGTCCCACGGAGTCGTGGTCAACGGAGCGGCGACGCGCAGGGAGGCCGTTGGACAGGTTGATGAAGTCGCGAACATCCGAATGACAACGACGCGCGGGTGCTTGAGTGCCAGCAGACTGCCCGAGTTGGACCGTTGTTCCAGTGAGCTTTTAGTCTCGTCGGAGTAAAACCGCCGTGTACTGGAACTGGCGTGTGTAGTACTGTCGAGCAGCTGAAGCCAAAAGGAGTCGTTGCCGCGTGCCCGTTCAGTCGATGCCGGAAGGAGGGACCACCGAGTGTCCAGGAGTGCAATGCATCCGAGTGGATTCTCCCGAGTAACCGGGTCGTTCTCCCGAGTCTATCTCCGTTTAGCCCCGACGATGGAGGGAGGAGTCGCTTGACGCCGGAAGGAAGAGCTACTCGGCACCAGAAGGAGGAGACGATCTGGGCCGGGTAAGGAGCTGCTCGGCGTCAGAGGGAGAAACCGTCGAGCATCCGTGCTGTGTGTTATTTGCTTCCGTTCGAAAGATCCATCATATGACCCTGCGAGTTTGCAAGTAAAGCCACCGTTAAAATGCTGCGTGGTTATACCTGCATGCATGCATGCATGCATGCGTCCATTAATTGATGCAGAAATAGCAGAAGTAAAGCGCTCTTTGGCCGCCGTAATCAGGTAACCGACGCTGGAAATCTCCACTAATTGGCCGCTCAATGAGGCGGTCAATTAACTCCTCGGAAGGTTTATGAGGCCACGTCCTGAACCTGTACGCGCATGCATGAGGCTTTAATTAGTGGAAGTTAAGCAAGAGTTAAGGCCGTTCATGCATGTAAGCAAGTTCCCCTTTCCCACGGCCATTTATCCTCTGCATGCAGGAAATGAATGGAAAGGAATTAAAGTTAGAAGGAAAGTGAAAGATGGGGCGCAGAACTCCCTGGTCGGCCATGGCAGCGGCTGTTTTTGGCACGGATCCATCGCGAGAGGCGGCCGCGATGAATCCGAGTGCGGGGCGGCGTCTTCCTGCGAGGCCACGCGCGGGCGGAACTGATCGGAGACGTGGACAGCCTCGGCGTTGGTGCTGCGTCCCGCCCGTGCATCCAGCGCGGAGGTCGTCGTGCGGCGGTTCACGAGGGATGCCCCCGCAACATGCCGTGTCAGGGCATCGCGGAGAGGCGGCTGCAGTGCCAGGCCTGCGCGCACGTCATAGTGACCACAACCGAGCGCCCGTGCTGCCAGATGGACTGTCGAGCGCCTGCGATCGTTGCAGCCGGCTGACGGGCGGGTTGAAGTCGATTGAGAAGAGGAAGCAGGAGGTGCAGTCTGGCGCGCTGGCGGCCGCGCGTGAGGACGGATGGCCACGACTCTTGGCGCACCGTATTGATGCCCTGTTCCCTTCCTCGTCTCTTCTCTGATTTATTCATGCATGGATGTGTCGGATCCTGCAGGAGGAAAAGGCAAACTCAATCTTAGACAATGTATTGTAAAGAGATTAGATCGAATGGATACTTCCCTGGTCCTTTTGTTTGTACGAATGGCGTGATGACCAGAGCTCTAGCGGCCAATTTCTCTGGTGATGGTAGTTGATTCGCTGTTGAAGATTGGAGAAAAACCATTTGCATCATGGCTCGAAAGACGTCATGCCCTACGGTGGGCGCCATCTGTCGTGGTATCGATTCCGACAGTAAGAGAGGGGTAGGATAACGGAGCATGATCTATCGAGATGCATATGGGTGACACGGTGGTTTTAGCGAGTTCGGGCCTCTCACGGTGGAGATAACAATCCTACGTCTCGTGCTTCGGAGAGGCTTTGTTTTATCTGAGTATATATCCGGAGATTACAATGTGTGTGTGAGAGAGAGGAACGGATCCCCATACCTGAGCTAAGTCCTGAGACTAATGGTGAAAAGGGAGAGAGGTGGAAGAAAGAACCCCCTAGTCTAGTGGTGGGGGGTGGCTTATATAGAGTGCGCCACCCCCTCACCTCCTATGTTACAAAGTGGGGCATGAATGCCATAATGCCAGCCCACTATCAAGCCCTCACTATTAGAATGATGCCGACTGCTTTGCTGCCTGCTGGTCTTCGTATATCCGAATGAGTCGTACGGTCGAGTGGTGAACTGTCATCCGAGTGGATGGTATGCTGCTTGGTCGAGTGGATAATATGCTGCTTGTCCGAGTGGATAGTATGTCTGTATGAAATTTACCTGGACCCACATGTTGTATGGACCCCATGCTTCATGATATTTCGACTCTTCGTGGGCCTACCTATTATGTATATCCCCAACATAGCCCGATGACTAGATCGTGGGGGTCATTATGTTGAGCAGTGAAACTCTGGTCTGCACCACGCTCCGGAACACCATGTGGCAGGGTTTGTCGCACTCGTCAAAGCACCGCTCCAGCGCGTACATCCTCTCCATTGCCGCCTCCGCTGTCTCAACCTTCCTGGTGGCGAACGTGGGAATAAACATGGACCTCTTCTTGCAAGATGACGCCGGGGACGACATTGACGTGGCAGCTGAGAACATGGCCACGGGGGCCGCGGCGCTCGCAGCGGCTGCCTGCATGATCGCACCGGCCATCTCTGCATCCTCGCCCACGAGGTTCAGGCGGGCGCATTTGGAGGAGACGGCGGAGACGGACGCGGCCAGGCGAGCGAGGACCTTCTCAGCCCGACGCTGGGACCTGGCGGTAGATGCGAGCCTTGTGGCACCGCCTCTGCGGAGCGCAGCACGGGACTCGGCCGCCGCGTGCCTGAGCGACATGAGGCACTCCTGGAAGCCCTGGTGCGCGTCGGTGAGGAGGAGGAAGGCGTCGAGGAGGCGGTCACAGGCGTTGCTAGTGACGCGGTGAGACTCAGGAAGGAGGAGGAGGTCGGCGAGTGCAGCGTGGAGCGCGTGGATGGCGGTGAGGCCGGCCTGGAGGGAGGCCGTGTCCTGGATCCAGGAACGGACGGCGGCGATGTGGGCGTGGAGGTTGGCGAGGAGCGGGTGGGAGGAAGTGGTGCCGGGGAGGCTGACGGAGCGGACGTGGCAGAACGGCTTTGAGAATGACCTCGCCGGGGTAAGAGGGAAGGAGATGGACCGGCCGAAGTTGGGAGCCATTTAGATGGATCGGTAGCTAGCGAGTTGCTTCTTCTTCTTTTTGTGGTTGTTGCTGAAATGCTGAGATGAGATGTGATCGTTGGAGGAGACGATCAATGTGGTATATATGGAATGCAAGGAGGAGGACTGGAGGACGCAGGGTAGCTTGGTAAGTGGTGGCTGCACGTGTGGGTGGCCGGGCAGCGGAGAGCGTGGGGGACGCGTTCAAAGTCAAATCTCAACGCCACGCAGCGCCGGCGGTGGTGGTTCGCCGTGCGCTTAGGTGTCATGTTGGCGACCGATCGAGAAGGTAGCCCATGTGTTGGGCGGACGTGCATGCACGCACGGTTAAAATAGATGACCTGTGCACGTACACATGTACAACAGCTCGCACTCTGGCACTGTACACGCCGTTGTGCTGGACTACAAACATCTTCACTCATCAACATGCGCGCACTAGCACAGCAGACGATACGTGCAAATTGTGCTACAGCATATTCGGATGGTGAGTGGCGACTCAGGTCGGTGATTCGAATAGAGTAGACTTCCGCGACAACCGGATCCGTGCGTGCGATTTTTGTCCCTTCTTGCGTTGCAGGTTCGGAGGCATAGAAGATTCCACATGTGGTTTCAGTATGTGAGATCGAGCAGATGGCATTTTATACGTTGGAGCAGTGAATGATTGTATTGATTAGTTTGGCACTACTATATAGTGATCATAATGCATATTGCACACGAATGGGTTGTCGTCGTCGTCTTCCAGTTAATCAATTCTTATCCAACTACGCACCACGGCATGCACCAGCCGTCTGGTAGCAGCTACCGAGCTTAATCAGTTCGTTTGTGCACGCATGCATCGTTTTTTTAAAACTTTACAACAACTATATCTCGATCACACTGATTTTAGCTACAGCTAGCTAGTTGGGAGAGGTTACTCGTGTAGTTGAATGATTGAACTGAAGAAATGCACGGATGCCGGCCAATATAATTGCATGCTAAATCTATAGTGACTTGACAGTGGACCTTTGATGGTAATGTCCATTTACTTTCACAAGGAAAATTGTCCCTGCGTTGCAACGAAGAATGTAATGTAATTTTTTTTGTCATGGCAGTGAAAACAAAAGGAAACAAAAGAAAGTATTATGCTTGTCTTTACCTTCTCACCACGTTCTTCTCACCCAACATTCCATGCACTTTCCTACGATTGTGCCAAAATCCGGTTAATTTCGGCCATGAAAGCCGACCGTCTACTATCACCGTGATGGCCTCACACAAGGGCAGTCTGTCAGCTTCGATGAGCGCGCGGCGAAGAAGGTGCTTGACGCACCGGCTAGGCGTCAAAATGCTACCCCCGACCTAGGGGGCATTCAAGCACGCAACGGCATAAGTGGGCGTCCTTGGCAACGCTCAGTTGTGTGAGCATCCAGTGCAGGGCATCCTACATCCGGGCGTCCTCCACCATGTAAAGCAATAGGAACATGTAGTCGTTTTTGTCTGTAGTCGTTTTATATCTAGTACTCCCTCCGTCCCAAAATTCTTGTCTTAAATTTGTCTAAATACGGATGAATCAAGTCACGTTCTAGTATTAAATACATCCGCATCTAGACAAATCTAGATACATCCGCATCTAGACAAATCTAAGACAAGAATTTTGGGACAGAGGGAGTACTTAGTACCAGCAAAGAATAAGGTGTCATCAGTAGCTAGTACAGGAACCCCTAACTGTTGAAACAAATATTGTTATTAGTGCTACTAGGTTTAGATTATTTCTTATTTTTGAGTCAGTTGGCCATGCCAGAGAGGATATTGACCTAGAGATATAAGAGGTCGGAGTTAGTTGCGGCATGAGCCAAGTGATCCTATCTCCAGGGACATGGATTAGACTCAAGCATGTACGTGTAGTTGGTAGTGGAGGAATAACCGGATCAAGCCAATGTGTGTGTGGCTGGCCGCAGTGGCGGACCTAGAAAGTATTTGGAGTGGGGGCAAACTAATTGAGTGGGGGCATATTCTATAGAAATTCAAAGAATTGAAGCATATTTTTTCAAAAACACAAGCAAATCATACTGAAATTTCAAATTTTCAGTGGGTGCCTAGGCCCCCACTCACCATAACGTGGGTTCGCCCCTGGCTGGCCGCGGTGTGTGCACGCATGGCAGGAGTGGCGCGCGTGTGTGCATGCTTGCTAGGTAGTTAGTGGGTCAAAGTAGTGGCGTGAGTTTAGGTGGTACTGGTGCTGATCGTGTGTATATACTTTGCATTGAGTAATAGAAAAGGCAACCATGTGGGTGAAATGATAATATCATGCCAACTTTTACCTGATGTTCATGGACATTCTTTTCCTCTCGGAGTCTCGAAAGGTCACCAGTATTGCCGGCAACCACCTCCTCGACACATTCCTCCTCCTCGCCGAATCGCACCAAGGCTTCCATGAGTGCCTCATGTGGCTTAGACATGCGCCCGCCGAGTCCCACCCCGCGCTCCGCAGAGGCGATGCTGCTAGGCTCGCCTCGGCCGGCAAGTCCCGTAGCCGGGCTGAGAAGGAGCTCTCTCGCCTTCGTCTCAGTCCTCTCCTCAAAGTGCACACGGCTGTACCCTCTCACAACCGGCGAGGAGGCCGACATGGCTAGTGTGCTCATGTAGGCCACCTCAGCCAGCGCCGCGGCCACGGTGGTCATGTTCTCGGCCGCTGCATTTGCATCGTCTGCAGCGCCGTCTTGCAAGAAGACGTCCACGTTTATTCCTGGGTTCGCCAGGAAATCCGCCACGCCGGAGACGACGGAGGCCACAATACAAAGGACGTACGAGATGGAGGGGTGCTTCGACGAGTGTGAGGGGGCCTGTGACATGGTGTTCAGGAGTGTTGTGCAGATCAGGGTTTCACTCCTCAACATCATGACGTCAACCAACTAGCTACGAACTATGTGTACAAAAGATGACGAAATATGTAGAAACTCAACAAATTAGGTTAAGAATATTCTATAGTCGGTACTGCACATTACGGTGTACATAATATATACACAGAAATAAAAGATATTTTTACAGAGAAGATGATCCTGCTTGCTATTGTTCATATGTTTAGATTTATACTTCATTACAACGTTCATAATATACATAAGTTGTGTTCCGTTCCATTCTGTTGTTTAAAGCGGGGGCTAGTGCAAAATAATGCACCAATTTGTGCTAATCTGGAACTTAAGCATAAACCGG